TGATTTGGTATGCGGCGATGCGTGACAATACTACAGCAGCCGCCGTATTTGCCGATTGTCACTGGGGTAGACGGAGAGGTAAACACGATTTTACCCTACCTGCACCGCTTGGATATGTGCGAGAATTGAGAGAGAGACACCCGGATACCTACTCAGCGTTCGCGCTGAATTATACTTTCATCTAAAGACTCTATACGTGTAACAGAGTTTAGCCACCAGATAACAAACAAATTTGAGTGGCTCAGTCATTTTTGTCAACTTCATTAAGTTGGAATGAGTAAGATAGTATAAGTCGGAATAAGATAGCATATATAAAAACAGATAGTACGTGCATGTATATATATACTGCACCTTTCTTTTTCACCACTTTGATCGTGTAGTAAACGGACAGTCGAAAATTGGTACAAATCGAGAGAGAGAGAGAGAGAGAGGGCTTGTTTGCGCAACACTGAGTCCATTCTAACAATAAGTAGAATTGTAAAGCTCGTAACTTATTCTCGCAAGACTTGTAAGAACGTATCATGGAGTTATAATTGTAAGGATATATGAAAAACTGTAAAACGTACGGTTATTCGTAAATATCTACGTCGACTAGCAAGCATCTGTCTATAAAGGCACTACATAAAGTTATAAGTATTCCAGTCACAAGTTCTTACAAATCTTACAAGAACGAATTATAATTGCCTTATACGATTTTGCTTAAAATTGATCCATCTTACGATGTGAAGGTGTAATTTTTTATTCGCTCTTCACAATCGCACACGATTGCTACATACGGTCTAAAGTTAATTGATGAAAAGCAATGTTATTAAATAAGAAAAATTGTGTTATATACTTTGCATACATTAATCTTCTTTCTTCGTTCTTGCTTAACTAAAAATGATTGTGCAATCGAATCGATGTCAATACGTCGACGTCAAATGTTGATTGACATTTCTGTCATCTTTGACCTCATTATAATTATTTTTATAGCTATTGCAAAGCATTGCAAATATTTCTACAAAATTTCTATCGTTTTTCTAATTCTACATCGTTCTACATATTACGTATAGATAATACTATGGCCAAGATTGGAACATAAAATGTGTTAGGATGGGATGGTATGATCAATTCTATATGTATAGTTTATATATTAATATTTATACTGTAAACAAAGTATATACATATGAAAATTATTTGTAACATTCTATTTTTATTGAATAACACAACATTTTTATAGTTTATTCACTTTATTTGTTATTATTTTTATTGGTATGAATTAAAATTTAAGAAATAATGGCTAAAAGATATAAATATATTTGTATAAGTACTTTAAATATTTAAGATGACTTATGTAAAGTTTCATTGCGATTTACCGATTAATTACAAAAGTTTAGAATAAATAAATATTTTGTATATTTATGGAACAATTAATTTCTCCATCGTAATGTAACTTTACACAAATCATCTTGAATATACTTAAAATATTTATATATTAAAAAAAAATTGAGACTTTAGTCATTATTTTATCATTTCTGTTAGACACACACAGAAGAAAAAAGAAGCATTACTTCTTATTAAAATAATTTTTAATCTAAATGATAAATCGTTATTAAACATTCTTTATATTATTTTTAAAGTCTGATCTAGAATAATTTTTTTATTATTTTGAAATATCGAATCGTATCTCCTTAACGATGTCAAGCGTTCCACGTAACGTTTACAACGTTACAACGTATCATTTCATTCTTGTTTAATATTTGATAACAAGAAGGATGAAATGATGCGAACATTGCAATCGCTTAACAATTTGGATATGCGTGTGAATATATATATATATTATACTTTCCGGCTTTGCATCGATATACAATTAGTTAGAAGTCAGAAGATAATAGAAATCTTATAAAAATATTCACAATTGCTGTTAATATAAAAATAATTACAATGAAGTCGAAGATGATAAAAATAACAACTAATATTTAACACAGATCGTTCATTGATGCATTCATTTATCGATTCGACTAATTAATATATTTTTGCTGAATGTTAAATATTAAGGAAGTTGTAAGAATTACAACTTCCTGCAATATGTTAAGAATTACTTGAAAAAATTACAGATTATTCTAAATTGCATTTAAAAGTAATACAAAAAAATTAGAGACAGTTTACTATCTGGATCAAAAGTTATTTAATAAAAAATATTTTTTATAACTTATACTCTAATAGAAATATAGAGAAATGTAATATAAAATAATTTATATAATAAAAATCTCAACTTTTTTATATAAATACTTTATAAATCCAAGAATATTTATGTAAAGTTACATTGAGATGCAGAAATTAGTTGCTCAGTAAATAAACAAAATATTTATTTGTTATAAATTAATTGACGAATCTGAATTTTGCATAAATTATTTTTAATAAATACTTAATAAGTAATGAAAAAAATTTTTTTAATTATTATTTTTTAGATTAAGGTAAAAAAAAGAAAGATAGTGCAAATATATCCTTTCTCGTAGGATTTTGACAAAAACGCCTCTTGACTTTTATTATACATAATTTATAATGTGAATAAAAAAAATTAAATTTATCAAATAATCTATATTGTAATTGTTATTTAAAGTAATCTAATTTTAAGAAAAATTAAGACATTCTAATCTTAAAAATAATTTTTTTCAAAATTAACTTTTCTTTTAACTTAAGTTAATTCAATCTTAACTTAACTTTTATTAAGTCAATTTTTATTCTTTCAAATTTTAACTTAATTTTATTAATTTTATAAGCCACTAATTTAATTCACAGTTAAAGAAAAAACATTAACTTACCTAATTCTGGTTATAATCCTTTGACAACATATGTCAAGGTCAAGATTACCGGAGCTGCTTCCCCTGTTCTAAATATTTTTCAAACATTTTGTATCGGGTAACAATAAAACTGACAATTATGAAATGTTTTTCTATTGTAACACAAAAAGAATAAAGAAAGGTAGTTCGATAAATAAGCTGTTTTCCTAAATTTTGAGCTGCCCTGATTTAATTCTTCATGGAATGGTGTGCAATGCTAGCATTGAGAAAAACTTCTGGTTGAAAATAAACAAACCAAGAAAATTTTCATCATATCAATCAGAATTCTGATTATCTCAAGAATTATGATAATAAATTCAACCAGATCCAATTAATGCAATCAGATTCTTTTCCTAGTGTGTGAATGCACCTGTTCATAAATACACTCTCGTCATTCAGCATTCTCTGTAACTCGATAACATTATTGAACCGGAAAGTAGATTCGCATTTCGTTACGTTCGTAAAATCGAGCAAGCTCCAGCTTCTTTACGGATAATTTTCATTAATAATTATATAATTAAAACCATACGGACTGTGAGAAGAAAAACCATCTTCGCGACGTACATATTGTTTGTCGCGGAAAAAAAAAACTTTTTACGATCCTTCAAGAAGCTTCAATATACCGAAAAGCAATCAATTATCGATTCCGTGATTCGCCAGTGGCATCGCACAGGCTCGTGGATGATTACCCCGGAATATTCCGTAATGACACGTAAAACAAAGAGACCGAGCATCTTGGGGAGGAAAAAAAGAGGAGCGAGAAAAAGGAAACGACGGAACGGATGGTGAAAAAACGGAATAGGAATGATTTTGCGACGATAAAATGTCCGCGCAGTCCGCCATCGCCGGACTGGTTAAACAGGTTATCGGTTTATGACTGTCGTAAAGAGATTTTAAATTTCGCGGCACATGTGCATTCCGCGCCGCGGTGCTTCACCTCCTTTTTCCTTCGTTTTTCAGTCGTTTTGCCGAGTTCATAACGACGCGCGCTGACGGCTGGACCAATAGGAAGCGATCTCTCGATTACGATGAGCGTACTCACGGAGTAAAACTCCAGGCATCTTAATTTCTTACCGATCTCGTCCGCGATCTCTGCCCCGCGACTTTGATATTCTATAGTAAGAGAAAAGCAGTGATTTTACAGCTATAAAGACAACTATACAAGTTTTATACGTAGAATTAAAGTTCTTAGTTGAATAAAATATCTATATAGTTACAATTATACAATAGTTCGTTCAACTAAAAAACAATGAATACTATAATTCTATATATAAAACTTGTATAGTTGTACATTTATAATTGCAAATATGTCTTTTTTTGTAAATATATCTCGCCTACGTAGCGAGTAATTAGCATTTACAATTTTAATAATAATAAGCACATGCCATTATGAATATAATTAAAGTTGTTAAATGACAAGAAATATTATTAAGACAGAAAGATTATTTAAATTATTGCTGTATTTGTCAATGTACAATACAATTAAATTTCTCTGTATTTTCTCAAAAATATACAAGATGTAAGAAAAAAATTGTTAATTATTTTTTCTCTAAAAAAAAAAAAGAAACAAATTTGAGAGGATTTCAAGAACGATCAATCTCTCTCTTTGAAGATATAAAGCATAAACGTACCGTAGGGGGAGGTAAATATTGGGAAATTTTGTCGAAAGAAAAATCTGCAAGTACGCCTTTTAGCAAAGATCTAAAGAGCAAAAATGCGTTCTTGCGATTGTAGAGACACGATAGCTCATTCTCATTTGGTGCGTGGCAATAAGAAAACCCGTTTATAGTAGATATTTTATTTCCAACTTAGGAACTGAAATGCCCATATATAATAAAAAATATTTGTATCGTAATAATTACTATTATTAAAGTGGGAAAACGAGGGTTATGCTAAAATCGCTCTACTAAGTATACAAAATGAAGAGAAAACTCGCAAAAAACGAAAAACAATCGTAGACTCTTTTTCTCGAAACATTCGAAGATTCTCCCGCGACTCACTCTCACTCATTCATCGGCACGTTTATTCCGTACACTCTCACGCGCGCTAAAAAAAAAAGGACTCGAGATTTATATAAAACAATCGCGGTAACAGAATATAAACGAAAAATCATATAAAATCTTCCACATGGAATTCTTTGCACATTGTAATTATTCTCCTTAATCTTTTTTCTTTTCGATTCGCGTCTACCTTCTTAGTTTTTCGAACTGCAGTTAAGGGGCTCGTCAAAAGCATGTACAAATGACCGTCGCTATCTAATCAGTTTGTTTTTTTATGGCACGTATTCTCATAAAAGCCTTTCCCTTTGCGGAGACTCGACGACGACATCCGCTTTGCCGTCCTCTTCGTCCATCTTCGCTTTCCGCAGCGTTCACTTTCCTCGCCGCTGCAGCGTTGTACGAAAACCCCGCGATATTACAGCGAATCGTAATCAGTAACGGAGATCCGTATACTCGACTATCTCCTTCTTTCCTCTCTTTATACATACGCTAGAACCCGTGGAGTTTCCCTTTAACTTTTTTGTTTCTGTATATATTTATCAGACTTGGACGTGAAGATCTATCTTAAGATTGTGTATGTAGTTCTTTCGGGCGATCGCGCCAGAGATCCACTGGTACCCAACAACGCCCGTTAAAATTTTTTCGAAAAGACTTACAATAGAATTTCTTCGTCGCATAGCACCATGTCGAAAAGCGACGCGACGCGACGCGACGGCGTAGTCGCGACGCGCCCGGGTCGCCGGAAGTCAGCCGCGGTACTTACAAAAATAACAACAGTGGTAGCGTCTCATGTCCTGACCCTTCGCGCTGATCGATAATCAATATCGAATTCTGTTTCTCGACTCGTTGAATACCACTGGAAAGGCTATTGTTAATTAGCCGCGGTCTCGCAATCGGCGCCGCAACGCCTTTGTTATCACGAAAGAACCATCCGAAAAAACGTGAATAATTCATACTCTTGAAAGACATCAATATAGAAATCTGATTTTCTTTTTTTTCGCTAGAATGATCCGAAACGGATCTTTCTTCCTCTTGTACGTCTTAGGGTTACGAATGCTTTAACGTTATTCTCATATTTATTAGTATTCTTTTGATCAGAGTATCCTAAAACGAACAAATTCTATTCAATATGTCTACATTTAACATGGATATACCGTCGGTAATTTTTTAAAAATCTGTTTCCAAAGTATTGTGGTGGCCCGCGATGTTCGATCACGTTTAGTAGCGATCGCGCATAACAAGTAATTAATTGATTGCACGCGGTTTCCGGATGCTTTTTACAGAGATAAAACGAAAAGCTTACATCGCGCGCTCCCTCACGTCGACACGGCGCGGCGTTAGAAAACGAAAGATCGTCACAAATGTCTTCCGAGCGAAAAAAGAGACCATCGGAAATGTGAAGAAAAATATCGTTTTCTTTCCTCATAAGGAAAAACAGCGATACGACAATCGTTGGCCACACGAGCAAGACAGCCTGTGTACACTTACTAAACTTAACTTTCTTACGTAATATGTTGAGAGATAATGTAGGATTTGTCTAGCTTAATGATTTACGTAGTTATATACAGTATATACATGTCGCTGCTATAACATTGCATACGTGCGCTTATATCGTTAGAGGTGACTATAGAGCAGTGTGTATGTGATTGTGTACGAGTGTTTCTTTTTTTTTATTATAATGAAAATTGTCTAGCTTATACACAGTACATTGGGTTTTCGCGAGCGTTACTACATAAGATTTACTCCGTTACACACAGTAAACAATTATACATTCCGATGATCCGCCGGCTATACGTTCGCCATAGTTCTTTTCTTTTTTCTTTTTTACGCATCGGGTTTATCACATGGTGCGTTCAAAATAAATCAAAATGTACACTTGTGAAAAACGAAAACCGAAAATAAAGACTCGACGAATTTGAAATTAACGATAATGATACTCTTTTGAGAATATATATCTAAATATGTGAAGAAAAGAAAAAAGTAATTGTTCTCAGGAAGAACTTTTTTTTATGACGGAACGAGACACCAGGAAACTCTAGCATAGCAGGTAATCTTCACAGGCAAGTTTCCAAATCAGAATATTTTGTCTTATAACATAAATTGAAAATCAAAAACGCGCGTAAACAATTTATAAAATAAACATATAAAAATAACGATTTTCTGTGGATTCCATCGACTGTCTCCTTGAATAGCAATACAGCAATACATTTTGTGTCGCATTTTTATCACAGGATCTTTTTCTTAATATCGATAATCCTCTAGAGTCTCGTGCAAGGACGAATCCAAGAATCTAATTTTGGAAAGAGGGCTTATAATATACTCGCACATATTGGATATAACGTTGTAATATGTATACGTATTAAAATTATTTAAAAAATATTAATTATATATTAAATCTTATTAATTATATCAAATCGAGCGACAACAAAATATTATGCGCGCACATATATAACAAGGCCCACATATTATTGCAATTCTCATCAAATGCAAATATTTCTTTCTAATCATCTATTAGAATATTTGTAACTAATGATATGAAATATATCATAATTTGAATACATATCTTCGTATAACATCTGCATTTAATCTGACCGATACTTCATTTTACCTTTGCGCGAGACCCTGTGAGATTATCTTTGTTCTATCATGAATAAACACTGTGAATAATTTCGTCTTGTTGCTTTGAATAAAAACAACATAACTGAACATATAGTTTGAACAAATCGCATCACTTTCATCATTATATCGCGTCACTCGCTGATTTACATTTCGACAGCGAAGAAGTCCGACGGATCCTTGTCTCTCTAGTAATCAAAGCGTCTTTCGCTATGCCGGAAACCCTAAATGTTGAGATCCCATTGTCTATTTAGACGTTGGAGCGGCCGGCTGTTGATGCGGCGGCTGCCCCGTCATCCCCGTCAGTCTTGGTTGCGAGGAAGCAAGTAATTCCTTGTAATATGCGTTAAATTCCGGCGGTAAAAACGACGACGCGGTGGCAGCAGCTGCGGTGGCCGTGGGCGGAATCGGCGGTGGGAACAAACCGTTGTAGAACGTGGAGTAGTACATAGAGTCCAGAATTGGTAGGAACTTGCCGGACGCGTTTGGCAATTGTGGCAAAGGAAAGGGAGCAGAATTATTTTGCGGTACCGTCGGTACGAATCCCGATGGTATGCTGGGTAAACTGTGTCGCCGCCCAGCCTCGTTCTGTCTGGGTTCCTGATGGTGATGATGATGATGATGATGATGTTGATGTTGCTGCTGTTGCGCTGCCAAAGATGATTTCTCGCCCTCGCTAATCCTACGATATTGATGATCCCTACCGGCCTCCGCAGCCGCTTTCCTCCTATCAATGCTCATTTGTTGTTGTGGTTGCAATGTCGTTGCCTGAATTCTAGGAAATGAACTTCCACTATGATTCAAATGATTCAAATTGGGTACGTTTGGTATGATGGGATGACTTGGCTTCCTTGGTGTGTATGGCGAAATCGGCTCATTTCTCACCGTATACTTTCCGTTCACTTGTTGCTGCGATTGCTGCTGCCTCATTTGCACGCTACTTATCGTTCCTATCGCATTTTTATTAGGTGGACTCGGTATTTGAACGTGAGACGGTATGACGTGATGATTGTTTTTGTGCTTGGGATTCACTAGCGTAATCTCGAGGTTATTCGACGCGATAGTTCGACTGTCAATTACATTTTGGTAGGCAGGAAAGGGTATTCGCTTTGGACAGTCGACGACAGGTCTGTCCGACAATTTATCCTTAGCCACGGGTGAATTCCGCACGTCCAGATTTAATGGATTAGGCCTCTGCACTACAGGTACTCTGACTATTTCTAGACTGGGCCTAGGGAACGTCGGTTTCTCGTTCTTTTGCGTCAGATCGAGAACACCTTGTCCGATGTCGTTGCTGGAGCTCATTTGTGGATGTTGCTGCGAGCGCTGTTGTTGCTGTTGTTGATGCGGATGCGGCGAGTGATATTTTGGAGGAGAGTTCAAAATATCCTTGGGATTTCCATAAACCGTCCTTTCATTGTGCACAAATATCGACCTTGATTGTGTCACCTTTGGTAGTAATAACCTGCCATTTGGAATATTTGGTGGAACGAAACGATGGCTTGATTGTTGCACAGACGAAATAGTTGATGGTACGACGTTCGCATTCGCATACAGTTGCAATAGCGCGGTATTGTTCGAGTTACCAAGATTTATTATTCGACTGTTTATCATATTATTGTTATTCATCATGCTAATATTGTTATTGTTGTGATGAACTGGTAATTGTTTAATCGTTGGTATTCGCGGCGGATGATTTTGATGCTCATGCGGCGACGGTAACATATGTCCTATATCGGGTGTCACAGTGACGGATATCAATTTAGGAATGGAGTTGGGCGTAACTGGAAGTGGATACGGCGAGATCGACGGTTGCTTCTCTTCAGTAGACTTCATTGTAGCAGGCAAGGATGATGGCGATTGCTGCTGTTGATGCTGTTGCGGCGACATACCAACACAGCTTTGAATTACGCTCGGTCGCACGTCCAGATCAACGGCGGTAACTTCGAGACCGCCTTCGCGCAAAATCTCGAGTTTACGTTTCTTAAAGCTGGGAATGATTATTTTGTCTCGACTCGTGTCGTTCTCGTTTTCAAGGTCGATCACTTCAGGTGATCTGGAGACTGGTGGCATTATCGTCTTTTCCGCGAATTTCTCGCCGCCGAATAGTGGTATATTTTCCTTGCCTTGTGCCAGTAAAGTTGTTTGCTTGGGATCCAACTTGATCTCCTTCATATCCTTCTCAGGTGGAGGTGTTAGAGTGACGACCGTCGACGCGTTTGCCGCTACACTAGTCACAGGCAAGCCTGGTGGCGAACACGATGGTGGAACTTGTTGGGATATCAAAGGACTGTTGAGCTGCCTCTCCAAGACACTCTGATTGTTACTGGTACCATTCGTCGGTGTTGTGGAGGGTGTGCTATTGGGCGTCGAGATAGATGTATTGGAGGATGGCGGTGGACTTGGCAGTTGGCTAGCTTGCTGGCTGGAAGGTGTCGCATTATTGGCGATTATTGTATTCAAAGATTTCAGACGTTCCGGCTTCACTCGCACGCTACGTAATGAGGATGTCTTGCCAGTTTCGGCTTTGGGTTTCTCACTCAAGAGTAAAGTCTGCAAGCGGGAAAACATATGGTATGAAAAAATTAAGTTGCATTAAGCATAGTTTCACGTTAATTAAATTAATGTTGCCAATTACCGTTGTTGTTGCTGACATTATTGGTTGTAAGGGTGGTGTTGTGGTCGCAGGAATTACATCTATTGGTGGAGGTGTTTCCGACATATAGAACTCGCTCGGTTCCTCCTTGATGTCTAAATCTTCGGATGCACTCATACTCTTGGTACGTCGTCCGAGATTCAATCTCACTTTTGTTTCTTCGCCTCGCTGATACCTTTCGTAAGGTAACAACAATCTGCAGATACAACACAATTTTTTTATAATTTAAACGCATTTATAGGGGATAATCTATATTAAAAAAAAAAAAAATAAAAAAAAATCTTTCTAAATATTTGTATACAAGGATATTAAAATGCTCAAATAAAACAATTGCGTGATGAGAATTCGTTAAAATACTTTACCTTTCGTAGTGTCTACGTGTAATAGTTGCTGCGCTAGTAGAACCCGTGTTACCACCGATGTCATCGTATATAGTCTTCCAAAGGCGCCCAGCACTGACAGAATCATAACCACCAAGCATTTGCACTTTTGTATAGAACAGGAACAGATCGACTATGGAGAAAAAAAAAGATTATTAGAGCCGTAAGCACGAAATAATTGTGATATATATTTTGCGAGAAGGAAACCCTGCTGTCTTAGCTCTTTGCAGTCTGGCCAGCCAAATTGCTGCCGGAATTGCGCGAATAGAAATTTGAAAAAGAGAAACGGTCTGCCTTTCCGGTAGCAAGACCGGTCATCGGATAGAAAATCCGAGGAAAGATAACAAGATACTGACTCTGCCTGTAGCCCAGCAGTGGCATCTTTCCGACCGGCGTACCCCGAGAGTTCATAAAACTCTGCACGTCAGTGATGAACTTCTTTTCTTCCGCGCTAGTCTTCCTTTCGCTCCGCCGTATCCCGGACGAGGGCGGCCTTCCGACCGTGGGTATCACCAGGCTGGTGATCGCCGACGTACTCTTCGACGTCGACGCCACCGAGGCTTCGCTCTCGTTCGAGGATTCGCCCGGCGAAGCGCTGCGCTTTTTACGCTTTCTTCGTGGTCTACCTTTTAATTTCGGCGCTGAAAATCACAAATATCATCACGTTAGATTTAAATTGCATATAATTTTAATATGTTTTAATTGAGAAAAAAGTCCAGCCTTGACATATACAAATATGCGTCGTAGTATAACGATCGTAAGATATGTGTATTCATTACTAATGACGATAAGAATAATAATTGCAAAATATTTCGATTCGCTTTGATTTCTTCTTCTCGACAAACAACTTTACGGTTATTCAAAGAGATTTGTAAAATTTATTATATTGAACAATCAAAAAGCTTTCGTATTGTATATTTGTATATCGCATATCATCGTTAAGCCGTTTCATTCAAGGTTATCAACAGATTCATCAATGAAATTCATTCATAAATTTGATTTCTTGGTTATCTTTAATCTTTAGGTAACCATATATTGTGAAATCGGGCCTCAGAGAGTTTACAAAAAATTAATTATTTCATAATGCATCTTTTAACTCTGCTGGCAGACTTGACAAATTTCTATATTTTTGGAATAAAGTCTATATCAATGTAAATCGATTTTTTCCATACAAAATTGATCTCTTCTATTAAAAATAAAATGAACAGAAAATTTTGCTATTAATAGTCTAATTCAATATTCTAGTATCAGTCAATGTCACTATACAGTGTAGCGTCAACTGATAATGCATTTTCCAATTTAAGCTTTATTCAAAATAAAATTCGTAAGTAATAGATTAAGAATCAATAAATAAATTAGTTTCTTGTCACAAAATATTGAACAGTAAACACTAACCAAATATGTATTGGTAAAATTTTTTATTTTGTTGTATATTATCATGTTTTTCTCATGCAGTTAAAAATTAATATGCAATTTAATAGCGTTTGTATTATCTTCGAAGTTTCTGTTTTTACAAATGTATTTCACACATTAATTTTAATTAAAAAAGATTTTACTATAAGATTTTATTGTTGTTATTAGTTTATTATTGTCAGTTGGTTTGGTTTTTCTTTGAACTATCATAATTAATATCTTCTTGCATAAAGTATAAAAATACATTTTTCAGTACTACGTATTAATCGTTTTCATAGTTCCTGTCAGTTTATTTCACTGAAACGGTAAAATTTCAGAATTTACCACGGTTTTTTCCACCCACTCGACTTTTCTAGTCAACTCTACCTGCTGGTCTGTTCAAATTTACTATACAATTATCTCGTTTAGGTCAATAATTAAAAAGCTGTAAAAAAAAAATAAAAAAAATTTCACAGAAAAAACTTTTATATTAATCTTTAGTACAGACGATGAATCGTTTGTGTCTTGGATTAATTTTTATCACTTTCACAAATACACAAAAATTATTAAGTGATTTTTACATATACTTCAATATTTTTTAGAAAGTACTTACAAAGTTGTGTGTGTGTGTGTGTGTGTGTGTGTGTGTGTGTGTGTTTAAAAAAAAGGATAAAGATCATTATTTTTGGTGCTTCTAGTATTTCCAAGGAAAGAAATGCACAAAACACAATTGCGAACGACTCAATCTTGTGTATCATAATAAAGATTAACAACGAAGGCATCAAATATCAAAAAAAATAATCAAAATGACAAAATAAAGGGCTACGAGCTAAAACTAGATGTTTAATATTAATTATAATTAACATTAATATCTAGGACACGTAACCTTTTATTTTAATTATTAACTCAATTGAATCTTGATTTAGTTCCTTATTTTCAATTTATCAGAGAAAAAATTTTTAAATAAAATGTTAGTAAGGAAATAAATTATATTTTGAGAGAGAGAGAGAGGAGAGAGAGGAGAGAGGAGAGAGAATCATGCCCATTTCCGCCGACGTAGATTAATTTTAATCTTGGTTCAACTTGTTCTTTGTTTTTTTCTAATCTTTAGAATTGATTTTTAGTTGAACCGAGATTAAAATTAATCTACGTTGGTAGAAATTGGCATCAAACACTTAAATCCGAACGGATCAGCGCAACGGGATTGAGATTACGATGTGTATTTAAGTACGTAACATTATTATAGACACACGCGACGAATTAAACAAACTTATATTATGTAAAATAATTTGTGTTTCAAGCATTATAATGTTTCAAGCATTAACGTCGTAAATACGATAGTAAGACACGTAAACACGATAAGCACACGTGACCTGTTGAATACTTTGTAGTGACAAGGTCGAGAAGGTATTTATTTATTTGAATGCGGAACAACACACACAAAATGTTATCGACAAACAGACCGGGACGTCGAAATGACTCGAAAATTCATAATAACGCTATTGGTAATACGATCGACTATTCGCAACTTTAATTTATCAACTTTATTAACTTAATTATTTATCCAATGTGTTCTTTATGACAAAATCTGCACGTTATAAAATCCAATCAAAGCACGTTTCGTTCATTTAATTAAGATGCACTTTAATAGTAATTATCTTGTAAGCAATATATTTTTGAAATTGCAATTGCATAGCTTTATATAGATATCCGATATGTATATATATTTCATTATCAAATTACATAATATAACGCACACCGGTAATTTTCAACCGGATCAACAATAGGTGAGATATTAGATTAGTTATTGACATTTCAATTATCAATAACAAGTTTACGGCCGATATTCACAGTTCGTTTTTATTTCAACAAGATCTCATCTTAATCGTCTTATGCTAATACGGCTCTATGATTGGTTAATAACATCTTATGATTAATTGAGACGGTCTTGAATATAATAATCGGCTATGAATACCGGCCTATGTTTTTCGAAAAGGAAGATGCAATATATCTTAAAAATCGATACTTGAAAAAAAAAAACTCGGCCACGTGTTCCTAGCTATTTTGACGTGTTAAAAGATTACACGTGCACATGTACATACATCGGCACACGTGCGAACGCGCGACACGATGTGTGCATTCAACGGAATAGTATTCACGTAAACACGAGCTTGTAATAATTTCCTTAGAAATTAACAAATATATGTATATTCCACTATCTTACCAGGTATGTTCAGATAAACCACTTTATTATTCCGAATTCTCATCACAATGGCCATTGTTTCCGTAGTGAAGTTTCGAACGACACTCACGATTATAAGTTTATTGCCAGACAGGCGATAATCGCGTGTAACCTTCCGGCGTTTTTTTTTTTTTTTTTTTTTTTTTTCACCATGGACAATGTAACTTGGCAAGGCGAAAATACGACGAGCACGGATGAACAAAAAACAAACGAATCGCAGAGTTCGTTGTCGAGTCCCAGGTTGTATCCCCGGGAACTCGATGAATTCGTGTAAGTGTGAATAAGCGAATGTTTAAGTCCTCCATTGACTACCAATCAATCTAATTCTAAAGCCGATATCTTCCACGAGGCGCGTAGTTGACAACGAAGATTCGGATCGTGTGGTACAAGTTCGTCGAACTGTACTATTTGCACTACTGCCCGCCCTTCGCCGTCACACGTCACACATCACACATCACACATACACACATACGCACAATAATCGCTACGTTGTGCTCGAATCGCGAGATGTCGAGATGGACGGGTACCACGTATCGTGATAAAAGCGTCACGCTGGCGATGAACCGGATCGCGCCGACAAAAAAACTACACTTTGATCGCGAAGAAAAAGCCGCAATTTAATGACGATCAATCGGTTGATGAAGAGAGGTACACTAATCGGTCGGCAGCTAGCGAGATCGGATTTTCGACGCGAACGTGTCAATACGACGGATACGTTACGTTTACATGGCGGGGAGGGGGACGCCGATTTTTCGATCGGTCGCACGCCTCGCGGTCTCGCGAACGTCGCGTCGGACGAATGCACGAATGCACGCACGCGGCACGCGGCACGCGAGAGGCGACCGGGCGAGTCGTCGGTGTCGTAACGAGCGCAGGATCATGCGTGCACGCGCGCCACGCGCGCTCGCCAGTTGCCCCCGCTCGAATGTCGAATTACGCACGCGGCACGGAGCGATGCCGGATGCCGGATGCGTCGGAAAAACGACGAATGTGCCAGCCAGACCGATGACGGCGAATTCGGCCCCCTGACAATGAGATTTAGAGCCCACCTATTCGTTTTTCCGTTGGCTCGCTCGCGTCGCGGCCGCTGGGCCTTATCTCGTCTATTACATCCCCTCGGGATCGTTTTCGGTTTTCCGCATCGTGCGAGGCGCGAGCGATCCAATGAAACAGCGTTGTCGCAAGCCGCTTTTTTTTTTTTTTCCCCAGCGCCGGCGCAGGCTACAGTCGGCACTCTCGTATGTGTGTTGTATCGTTAAGCGAGCGAGCTGTTATGTTCTGTCGATCGGTATCTTTGTGTTATCTCCGTGTTTCATCCGGCGAATACAAAGAGGAACGCGCGAGAATCGAGAATCAAATATAATATCGCTCATCTCTTGTTTTATATATTCGGATTCTTCTCGACGAGCGTGTGCGTACGTATATAAATGCGCAAATTGAATTTATTATCGTGTGAGATTCAAGCGAAGCCTTAACAAATATAAACATTATTGCAAAAAAACCTCTCTATGAACGACGTTCGCAAAGATATCGATTACAGTTTATTTATTCGTTATTAAACAGGAGAATGTTAATTGTATCGTATTTATTTGCGAATGACTGAGAGAGAAGCTTTCAAATATTTAATCGAAACATTTTTTAAATTACCTTCACAAGTCCGCTCTCTTCTCTGTAGTTAACACAATTAAAATATGGCGCTTCATATTTTTCATCTATCTCTTTTTTTACATTAAAGTATAGTACAATACAATATTTACAATTAAATAATTATTTGAAAAAAATCTCAAGTTAAAATTATATGAGATATTTAATAAATTATAATTAGTAAAGTATAAGATTGATAGATGATGCAATTCATAATGAAAGATAAATAAAAAGAGAATACGTAGAAGCTTTTTATTGATTGTACGTTTTTCGAGAATTACTTTCAATGTGAAGATATTATGCTGTGCTTTAATTACGTATTGCTTAAAATAGTTATATTATTAATAAATAAGTGCAATTGAAAAATTATCGCCACAAGCTTTCAGTATTAAAAAAAGATATGTCAGGTTTTCGTAATTGTATAATCATTTTTTTCGGAAGATAATAATGATGTCAGGCATTTACTATTAATAGACAGCGTATTCCCTGTGTGTGTATAGTGACATATTATATATAATATAATACGTTCGTAGTATCGAGCAAATAAACTCCAAGGTTGCACGTTACAAGCATCTTTATAACTCAAACGCACACACAAATGCCAGCAGTTAAATGTATGTGAATACGAACATGTTGGTCAGCAATCAAAATAATTTTTCTCTAAAAATATATGTATGATTAATAAAAAAGTTTCTTCTATATTTTTCACTTGTCTTTCTCTTATCAAAAGAGAAATCATTTTTTAGTTGTACGACAATTTCCCGAATATTTCATATTATCCGTTATTGTAAATAAATATATAACAAATTGAAAGAAATCGTTCTTTTGCAAGATCTTTTTACGAACTGAATAATTAATTTTAACTTTTAATACACACGATAATTTTCGGTCCTTTATCACACATGATGAGTCATTCGTGTCCCAGTTTAATTTTCATCACTTTAACAAATATTATACAAACATTATATTAACCCGGTAGTAGGCGTGAATTGACTAACATTTTAGTAGGCGCGTCGCGGCTATTTTGAAATATATTTGCTACACTAAGTTATATATATGTATTGTAATTACACTAATTACTATAATGATAAGTAACAATTAATAAAAAAACTTTTAAATAATGTTTCATTATTAATCAATTACAAAGGAATATAATTACTGGAAATAATTTTATTTATATGTATAATATATTTTTATTTTTATTTTATCTTACGAAAAAACATTAACAAACATTTGAACAAATTGAAAGGTACAAATGGAAAATAGATAAACGACTGGGACGCGACCATTCCCGGATTAATAAGTGACACATATGCTTTGATATCTTTAGAAAGTATTTTTTAGAAAGTAAAAAAAATCGTGTATCTACAAAAATTGTACATAAATATTATAACTAATTACTCGAAGTGCTCTTAATTTTTTAAAGAAAAGAAATATGCAAGACACGAATGACCCAATTATCGTGTATATTAAAAGTTTAAATTAAAAAATTGATAAATGATACATACCCAAGTGATTACACAGCAGTTCATGAGTCTCGAGATCCGGATAGTCAAATGTGTCTCTGCAGAAGAGCACCTTGGTGCCTGGCGTCGCGGTGAAGCCTCCTAACGCGGCCGCGATGGACGAGCACAGCCAGGAGGGCTCGGCACCTTCGAGTCTACGTAGAAGTGCCCTGTAGCGGCAATATCTAGGATATGAGAGTACTACCACCTTCGTTTGGAAGCTGTCCGATCTTTTCAAAGAGTTCAGATTGCTTTCGTATTCCTTCTGCTGTTTCTCGACGTCCGAGAAATCGATCCCCGGATCCGTCAGCACCTGCGGCTGCGGCATCTCGTATCTAAGTGGACTAGTCTCCGGGGACGACGTCGGGGTCGTTGGATAGGATACTTCCCGTCCCCACGACCATTCCAACGTAGGTGAAAGCCATGTGACTAGGTCGTGCACGCGGACGACTACTTTTTCTGAAATCGTCAGCACCTCGTCCTGCAAAGAAAAGTATTTCTCAATATAGGATGTGTGAATTATGGACGTGGAATTATTTAAAAAGTATTTATCATTAGGGACATTATCATCTGCGCAGATAAGTTAAATCGAAATCAGTAATAAATAAATATAATATATAAACGTGTATAATATATACACTAGAAAAAATAGTTAATTATTATACTGTTTCCTCGTTCGAAAGCGAGAAAGTATGTCGAAAAACGATAAAAATTATGTCCAAACAGAATGTCAGTTCATGTACAAGTGTAAACAGTCAAATGAAAAATATATCATTGATGTATCTAGTAATAGTATCATATTATAGCATAATAGTCGATAATGACAGATGTTTATCTAAATCGGAAGAATATAATTGTTATAGCCTATTGTATGAAGCCTGTACTCGGGTAAAATAGTACATTTTCGAATACTGAATACAATAAATAAAATGAATGAAATAAAATTCGAAGCCACTTTTCAAGATTCAATTTTAGTTTTTTTCCTTTTTGCTCTGATACGTTAAACCCTTCTTACAATGAGATTAATCAAACTTGAATCTTAACATTAAATTTAGATCTTATTTCGTTCAAAATTGCACCATTTTAATCTATATTGTAATTATTCTGTAATATATATACTATAATTATTCTGCTATTTCATTTTGTAAGTTGTATAAAATTAACAAAATAATGTAAATATTCATCAACGTTAGGATATTCGAAAAGTCCCGGATCCCTTAAATATCTTGAAAAGTAAGCAAGTATTTTTGAGAAAAAAGTTTCGTACAAAAGTTGTATAGTTTAAAATGCTCTATTTACTGATCAGTTTGATCTTAGGTGACAAAATACTATAATGAAGTTATTTTCCATCTTAAGAAACCATTTTAAGAAACTTGAAAAGTACTTGAAAGTTACAGTATCGCCGGCATTAGAACTACTAAGAGTGTCTGACCGACTAAAATCTTTTAAATGTTGTTCAGGATCGTGACTTGAATAACATTTGTCAAGATCAAGGCCATTGGAGGTTATACCTCTTATTTTCATTTTTACGTAAAAATGAATTTTTAATGCAAAAATAAGAAAAATAATCTCCAATGGCTTTGATATCCAGGACATGATGCTGAACAACATTTAAGAGGTTTTAGTCATAAAAGTTCTAACCAGTTACGTTGGATAATGCTATCGGCGATATTATAATTTTTGAGCTTTATAACTTGAAAAGTACTTAATGGAAAATAACTTTATTATAGTGTTTTGAAAAGCTCTTGACACTAGCGATTAGATTCTGAAATAAAAAAATTGAATGTTTCATTTAAAAAAAAAAAGATTTGATCAGTAAATGGAGCATTTTAAACTATACAATTTTTGTATGAAACATTTTTCTCAGAAATGCTTATTTTTCAAGATATTTAAAAAGATCCGGGACTTTTCAAATATCCTATCTATCTTGCTATATATACATGTTTTGATGTTCAAAACTATTTTCGTTTTCATAACTTTGTTACAGGTATTTGAATTTTACAGTTATTAAAATATAATTAATATTATTTTGTTTTCTCCTAGAGAATGTACATACCTACATAAAATATCTAACTTAAGTACTTATATCTTTATTATTCTAAATAATATAAAGAATATAAATAATATAAAGAATATAAATAATATAAATAATATAAATAATATAAAACTTAAAATTTCATGATTTCGAGAGATATAAAGTAATGACAGTGACATTTTTGATGTATATGGAAGTGTGAAGGAGATTTCAAGACTGAAGAATAACTCAATTTTTTTAAATGAAACATCTGATTTTTTAAATAATATTTTTCTATAGTTATTTAATTATTTTACATGTACAAGTATTAAGATAAGTTTAGCAAAAATCAATAAATTATAAAACATTTGATATACTTTAGTCATATTTTGATACACATATAAATAAAAATATTATTAAAAACTTATTATCAGTAACCTATTGATATATTATTTTGCATAAAATATACTATAATATGTTATAGTGAAAAATAAAATATAACATAAAATATGTTATAATGAAAAAAGTCTTGTTGAATTAATTCTAACAAAGTCAAACAAAAAGCTACAAATCAAATATTTATAGTTAATCAAATATTTACATATAGTTATTTATAGTCTATCAAACATTCTAGTCGAGATAATCAGAAATTCGGTTACAATAGCTCAAAATCTCTGATTTACATTAAATTGATTAAAATACATTTTGAATGTGTTTCTTGTTGGTATAATAAGAACATTTTTCTCAATAGAATTTTTAGTTTTTAAATGATTTATTAATGATAATTGAGAGAGAGAGAGAGAGAGAGAGAGAAGAGGATTGCTGTTGCATACTTATTCTACATATTAATTTTTCGCAAAGCTTGATTCAATTGTTAGCAAAATCGATACATTGTAGTATAACATAATACAGTAACAAGCAATAGCCAATGTATCATTAATAGAATTATTATTTTATGAAACAAATGAGACTTTTATTTCACTATTTTCATGCAACAAATGTTAATAATTAAACCATTATCGAGAGATCGCGAACCAGCATGCGAGCAAAGATAAGGCATGATGAATTCGGGATTTTGGCGGGAAGAAATTTTTCCGGTAGAATTCCCATTTACCTACATAACATGGCTCTCTCATCGGTATTTGTACCGACTTTCAATTGAGAGCTAGCGACTCTACATGGGAATGCTAGGAACTTGCGCGCAAAAGCTTTCGCGGTGAGATGCAACTATTTACTATCGGGGGGGAAGAGGGAGAAAGATGAGAGTGTGTATAATAGTCTCTCCTTTCTCTATCTATGTAATACGTTATACATATACGTATATAATCCACGCGATATAAACCGTGGTTTATGCTGCATCTCGAGTGCATCGTTATCTGCTCCGCCTCCACGATAATTTAATTGTTCGCCGGTGCTTGCAGAGCGACGTCATTTTCGCCAAGTTTGACTTATTACTTGCCCCGTATGCCTCTGC